AAACTTTTAAGGCCTCGCAGGTTCTGAAAATTTAATTTAAAGGTTTCTTTTAGCAACACGATAGCTTAAGTGCGCATTTAATACAACACAAATTTCTTTCAGTGGTATCAACAGCAATCAATATCGAGATAAAGGCTGCCACTGGAAACAGCCTTGTCGTTAGTACACTGCGGAAAAGAAAACTTATTTAGCCCGGTTTGGAGGGATGGTGGGAGGGGGAAGGGGTTTGTTTCGGGAGGGTGGTAGAGGGGAGATGGAAACTCCTGCCCGGTTATTTGTCAGATCGCGCTAAGCAGCATCACTTACTCTGGCGGGTCAAAAGCAGATCAACACGACATGTAGGCAGGATGAAAAGTACGACCGCTTGTTTCTTTTTACTGTTGTTATTTCGCTTGCGTTAAGTTGCATACTAGTTATCTAACGCTTCCGAGTGGTATCCCACTTGTCACTTGTATTTTCTTAGTATACACAATTCTGTAATTTACACCATGCCATAGAAAATACAGTGATCAACACAATCAATGCAGGGCATGATGGGAAAGTTGGGAGTAATTCAGTCGAGTAGACAGCAGCTTTCCTGTATTCTGATTGGCTGTATTTTCTATGGCATGGTATATAAGTTAGTAGTCAATATTAGAGTCGCATGAGCTGCGAGCAAAACCCAGATTTTGCTCCCTGCCGTAGAGAAGATGGCGAATACAGATACCCTTAGGCCTGTTCACAAACCATTACATAACAGCTACAATTGATCATTTCTTTAACCACACGCTATTATTTATTCAAACACCTAACGAAAAACAAACTACCTAGTTCTTTCATTTATGACTTGTCATACAATATTTCTTCCAAAGAAAGCCTGCCGACCAAAATGGGCGTAAAGGCAGCGTATGTACACGGGTTAAAATAGTTTTAATGTTCAAGCTACACAGGCTTAAAACTGACAAAACTGCTCCTTTCAAAATATACCTCACAACAAACACACCATAGTGTTTATATTTTTTGAGGGGGGGGGGAGACTCCCTATATAGCAAAATGCGTGTCTTAGTAACACTTTGTTTTGTTACAAACTTGCAGATGAACGCGCCGATGCCGGACAAACTATGATATTTTTTTCCAGATAAATGTCGGTGTTGTAGTTAAGTGTCTTTAATGTTTCCGACAAATAGGTCTTGTCGCGAGCTGCGGCATAGCAATTGAAGTATAAAAAAAAAACAAAAACAAAAAAACATTCACCGTGAGTGCGACATACATGCTAGCAATGTTCCTCGATTAAAATAGATACATATCTCGCGAGCTCGTTTAGCTTAACTATAACATTAAACTCATTGCCCTCTACACACGTAAATGATAAGTCATAACTACTGGTGCGTGGGGCATTTAGTATTGACTTTTGTCAAGACGCCTTCCCGAGTGTTCGACACTAGCATTTATACACTGGTTTCATTGCGGGGTGGTTCGGGCGTTGTACGCTTCAGGTGAGGCACGGGAACAAACACAGCTGTCTTTGGCAGATCACTGACCCACTCCTTCTGTGCGGGTTTCGGCCGTTCTTCTTTCCACGAAGACATAGAAGATCGCGGAGTTCTCTCTTTTGGCGTCTCACCTGGACTAGACACAACATCCTTAGGGCACGTCTTTTGGGGTTGCGTCCTTTGTTCAACTGGAACTCGTTTAGAACGACGTGACGATCTTGTTTCAATTCCAAGGTTATGGTGTATGTCACGCGCAATTTGGTAAGGATTGCGTGACCTACGGCGAGGTACGTGAATTCCGTTGGGTTGTTCTCTAGTGCCCCGTGGAGCGTTTTGAGGTCTAACTCCATTTTTGTCGAGTGGCACGTCAGGTCTTTGATCAGCTGTTGTGGACTTATCACTGGGAGATACAGCTTGTTGCTGCTCACGGGGTCCTTCACCGGCGTATTGATCCTGCGGCCGGTCCGCAGCTTCTTGAGTTGAACCGTGCGCAGATTCATTTGTCAAGTTTTGATCACGTGCTCCTTGTACTAGATCACGTTCATTCTCGTGGCATGGTGACGTGCTACGTTCGTGCGGCGGTCTTTGAGCCGGATTCTGGTCAGCTGGAAGCGGAATGTAATCGTAAGGCTGATCACGTGGCATGTGATCACGAGGCACCTGATGATGGTCATGTGATCTCTGACCAATGCTTGGGTCTTGTGACATGTGGCTGTGCTCGAGTGGTCTCTGAGCCTGATCGTGCGTTCTCTTCCCTGGACTATGATCCTGTTGGACTTGATAACGTTCGTGCGCAATCTGGGGAGGAATTTGCTCACGTGGCACTTGATAGTTCTCATATAGTCTCGGAGAAGGGGGCATGTCACGTGCTATCTGATACAAGTCATGCACCCTCTGAGCGGGACTTTGGTCACGTGTTATATGATAAAAAGCCTGACCTTGAGTGGGACTTAGTACCTGATTTTGATCGTAAGTTCTCTGACCCGGATTTTGATCATCTGGCATTTGATAACTATCAGGCGACACTTGATACTGATTGTGCGGGTTTGGACCAACATCAAGACAAGGCTGCAGTATATAATGATCTCTTCTGTTCGTTGGAAGAGGAAGTATCTGGTAGTGGTCGCGCGGTTTTTCCGACAGCGCGCGTGGCTCGTAAGGAATATGATACCGTTCGCGCACCACAACATGATCACATGGGATCTGCCTCGGAATGCCACTGGTTGGAGTTTCGGCGATTGAGTAATGAGCGAGATCTTGGGTATCACCTCCTGGTCTTGACACAGGCTGAACACCAGACACTGGAGTACGAATTTTGTTAAACGGGAGAGGGGGCGCACCATCCGAACCATGCGAGGAAGAACCGGGTATGGGAGGTCTTCTCTTCGAGGACGGAATTTCTATTGGAATGGACACCTCAGAGGCTGAACATGACGTGTTAGTATGGCGTGACACATTGAGAGGATCCGCCGCCTCGCGCACAGATGAATGACATTCGGATGGAGCAACATTGGACGCGGTGTCTGTAGGAAGCTGAATGCTTGAAACCACGGAGCTTGCAGTCCCCTCGGGTGGAGCAAGGGGTGCACGACGATCTTCGTAAATACTAGGGGGAAAACGAGTGTTCTCAGTATAGCTGTGCCGGTGTCCAGGGGGGTGTTTAAGAAGTCTCCCTCGGGGCTTATATTTCATAGGAAGAGGGGCTGATGTACAAGACTGCTTGTCTGACACAGACGGCGCTTTTTCAGGTTCAACTTCGGCCTCCTTCTCCGCCACATGATCTTGTTTATCAATTCTAATGACCGCCGAATACGGCAAAGACACGTTCGATTGTGAATCCTCATCTCCCTGGGAAAGCTGGTTTTTGGCGCCGTGAATTTCATCCCCAGTGAATTGTACCTCCTGTCCATTTTCCGTATCAGCTGTCGTTTTATCCGGCGATATCTCTTCATACGTGTGGGCTTCAGGCGTTTCTTGCTGAACTTCGTATTGCTTGTTGGACAAGCACCAGCATTTACAACACTTTCTCCAGAAAAGCCGAACTTTCTGCTTTCTGTAACAATAAAAGACGAAAACAAGAGCTCCCAAGACAACAAGCAGCACCGCAAATAGACAATTCAAGGCTATGTACAGGGCGCGTGGCTGTTGGTAACGAATCATTATCACTCCCAGTGTCACGCTACTAATGATCGAAAGTAAAATTACGCAACTTCCTCGCAGGTGATCAATCATTTCCTTTTTATCCGGTAAAGCTGACTTGTCCACAATGTCTCCGGTTCCATCACCATTTGGCAGAGGCTCTTGCTGAATAACCAGAGCATTCTCTTCAGCTACGATTTCGACTTCATTTTCCTGCTCTGTTTGTGGAGTCACTTCAGTGTCGTATGTCCGATTGATCAGGTTGAAAACACGAAGAAATATGATCAAATCTATGAGCACTATCAAGCAGGCAGGACCCACGAAAGCACCATAGAAGGGGTGCCGCCTCAGCCAACAGCTGTCAAGAGATAACAAAAGGTTATTTGAAACCCCTCTATTGCCGAGAATGACCTACATCCAGTTTGTCCCTACGACATTAATACATGGTCATGCAGACAGGTAATGAGAATTAAAACCACCAACTAGGGGATGTGTGACAATCATTACAGAAAGTTAGTAATTCGAGTATGGGTGAAGATATCATGCAAAACACATCAAATACAGTCGAACCTCCGGCTGCGACCACCTCTCGTCAGCGACCGCCTCTTCTCAGCGACCAGTTTTCAAAAATACGAAAAGTTTCCAAGTCAAATCACTATAATTATTTGGAACTTCTTGTAAGTGACCACCTCTCCTAAGCGACCGCGACCGCCTTTAGAGCTAAAAGTTTGAAATTTTCCTTTGTTTTATTTTAACCCCCCATAAGCGACCACTTGGGATATAATAGAGCATAAATGGGATAATAAGGTATTGGAACATTATTGCATTCGCAGGGGCCTGTTTCTCGAAAGCCCCGGACAACTTTTCGGGCCCCCAAAGCCATATTTAGTTGATCTGTATATAAAAACAGAAAGGTGTATACACATGAAACTTATTCTACGAAGAGAACTCCTCGTCATATTAAGAATATGTAAATAACACAGCTCTGTAATCATAAGGTTTGAGATTTTGCTACTGCTTTCCTAGTGCGAAAACATTTCGGGACCTTCGAGAAACGGGCCACAGTAAGTACAAAAGACCGAAATTTCTCAATGGGAAGTACCGGATTTTTTCTCGAAATTGACTTTTCACATGAGTAAGTCTCTACAGTTACCATACGCTAACGAGGCAAAATCTTGGCCCCATATGGTCTACGCTCTCGTAAGCGACCACCTAGGCTTGACATTTTGGGTGGTCACTTACGGGAGGTTCCACTGTAGGAGTGGAGTTCATTAGCTGGCAAAGTTCAGGCACACACTGAAAAGTTCCCAAAAATAATAACAAAGCTCTAGCTCATAACATTTCGCTTTGAGTGTTCAACCAATACCAATCGGCATGACACGATCATTGCTTTAGTCTCGAGACGAAATGAGAATTGCACTAGAAAAAACTGCTACGTTTTCCTGACTTTGCTATAACAAGAAAAGAATTTAGCGAAGAAACGGAAAATCGGGCGGCGAGATAATCCCTTCACCTTATAACTGTTAACTCATATAATTGATAAATTTCAGCTGGCGCTTAAAATCTAAGGAAAAGAAGCATCTGTTCACCGTCTATCATGAAAGGAAAGCAAATAATACTACTGTAACTCAATCAATCAATCAATCAATCAATCAATCAATCAATCAATCAATCAATCAATCAATCAATCAATCTGTCAATCAACTTTATTTAAGTGTCTAAACCTTCTAGTCACCCCGAAGGCCGACTAATCGGGGACACTCCCAATAAAATTACTAAGAAATTAAGTTACGTTAAGTTGAGTTAAAAGTTACGGTATATATACATATCTAAAATTCCATTTATATTTTAAAATACGGACTAAAATATAATAATTTCTACCTATACAACTATATACAAACTTTAAATATGTCTAAAATTCTAATAGCATTTTCAACACACTTCGCACAATTTCCTGTACAGACTGAAATTCAATTCTAGAACATATTCACGGGAATACTTACTAATCATGAACATTGTAATTATCCGGATTACCAGCGACAGTGATTCCACAGATAATAAGTGGTATACCTGAACAGAACAAAACAAAAACTTAACAAATGGCAAGTGTAGCGATTCTCTATACGACTTTACTCAATCACCTTTTTTAATATCCATTTTCACGTCGGCGACCGTTCACGCAATCAATTAACAGGAAAGCAAAAGTAACCATAATGCTCCGTGTCGCGGCATCACATTCAATTCACTAAACTTGTTAAACCAGTTTTATAAAAGGTGCTCGTGGAGAGGTCAATTAAAGTTCCGACCAGTTCAAGGGAGACGCCTTCGTGCTTAGAGATCCACCAATTACTCAATGGACAAGTTAAGATATCGATCACAATTGCAAAATGAAAAAGCTACGTATGCATGGAGGCGTCAAAACAAGTATTCCCGCCAAACCATTGATGTCGAAATCTGTTTCACCAGCACATTCATTTTCGTGGAATCAATTTTTTTTCACATAGGTGGTTTGGCACGAAGGCTCGTTTTGAATATGGGGCAAAAACAACTGAGAAAAAATCGTTTGCACCACGTTGAACAAGGCTTGAGAAGCACAACAAATATGTTATACGGCACACAACTTACCCCAGCTAGTCATATAATATCTAAGAACAGGGTTGAATTCCTCAGGCTGAATGGCAGTCCTTATCAGTCGGTGAAGACAAATTCCTCCGCAACCGATCCACAGCAGTGAACATAACAAGAAATAATGCAATAACACTCCAACAGAACGACACACTAGCACGTTAGTCACTTGATTGATCCCTGTCACAAACACCACAATGGTAACGATAAGAGCGAGGTAGTGGTTCATCAACATGGCCGCATCATCTCTGCCAAACCGCAGATCCCTGAAATTGAAAAGACAAGACGACTTCAGGTGCAAAGAAAACCAAATTTGGGGCTGAAACTATACGCTGAAACTATAATTCACTAGCCGAAAGTCATCCTCACTGCCCCCCCCCCCCCCCC